ACTGTCTTGAAACTAAATTCATGATAGATCCGTGAAGACATATTTTCCTATGAAATGCAATCTGTCAGAGTAAAAATGTTCAAGGAATCACAGCTGAATGCTTTTTTATATGATACCCGGTAGTTTCATCTTTTGTTAAACAAAAAAAATATTTGTAAAAACATTTTACATTATTGAGTGTTTTTTTTTTACTCACAATGTTGGCAAAAATAGTTATATCTATGTTTGTAGTCATTGATTCAACAAAGTACCCTGTAACATGAAGTACATGTTTTTGCACACATATATTTGTATTATTATGACAATATCAGAAAAATTAATGTACAAACTAAAATCAATTCTTTTACTATTGTATTTATGTTATAGCTTTAAATTGTAAGCAGTTTTCCTTTTTATTGATTGGATCCAGATGTGTTTAGTTTCACGTTTTTTTATAAAAATTTTATAATGTTTTACAGTCTTATATTTTTTTAGGAGACATTTTTCTACTGTTTAAAGCCCAGTTTATGCATATTTGAAAAAAGTTTGATTTGGTCAGTTTGTTTATGAGTTTCAATTGAGAAATTGTTGTTTTGGAATGATAAGTACCATTTGCCACTTTTGGTTTCTGTCCTTCTCAATTTAGATTAAACCCAAGTACATATAGATTGAGAAAATATGCACTATTTGCTTAAGGCAACTTACAAAACCTGAATAAATGTAAATGCAAGAAAAGAAATTGGAATAAAATTTATATAAAAACTCCTTTTATAGTAAGATTAATTCTAATTGTAAAGAAGGATATTATCAATAAAAGTTAAATTCCCTTTAAAGGGAAACTAGTCATCTTATGATACAGTGAGTAACAGATAATTTCTTGGTAATTAGTTTTCCTTGATTGAAGCAGTCAGTAATTAAGGGAGACTATTTTTGCTGTCTGAATTTTATAATTAAGATGCAATATGTGGATAAATTTGTCTCTTAATATATATTATGTCATTTACAACAGAAGTTTTGGATATTATTTATCAAAAATATAATTTATTAAAGAAATAAATACTTATATGTGTATATTGGTCCAATTATGCATTTTTTGTTCTTCCAAATAAAAATAGGAGATGTGATATGATTGCCAACGTGACAAGTATCCACCAGAGACCAATATATGTGGATGTTGGCAACAAAAGGTCACAAAACAGTCCTTGTCAACATGAAAAAATCTTACTAAGTAAGCTATAAAAGGCCCCAGAATCACAAAATATGAAACAATTCAGATGAGAAAAAGAACAGCCTGATTTATGCTAAAACAATCAATGATATTCTTGTTTTGAAATTCCAATTAAATTGGAAACAAATGCGGCAGACAACAACCAGTGAAAAGTAATGAAAAACAAGTTCTTGACTTGGGACAGGCACATCAAGAATGTGGCAGGGCTAAACATGTTTGTGAGTGCTCAACCATCTCCCTAACCTAGGACAGTGGTATAATAGCACAACATAAGAACAGACTAAAAATAGGTTTGAAATGGCTTGACTCATCAGATCAGTACTAAGCACAACAGCAACTAACAAAAGACAAGTATCTATTGTATGGTAATAGTCCATGCTAGACAAGTTGTGCTTGACAAGTATCTACTGTATGGTAATAGTCCATGCTAGACAAGTTGTGATGGAAGACAACATCATATGTTATCATCACAATTCTCATACATAGCACAACACAAAGATACAGCAACATTGTAATGATTACCATTGATTACATCTCACACTTTAGTCATATTCATGTGCATATCACAGAAACCTGTGGTTGTATACCAATAATATTTCATTGCAACGGTTCCCTTATATAGTACAACAAATTCCTAAAAGTTTCCCACTTTGACAGATAATTTTTGTTTCTGTTTTATTTTAAGGTCTATACTAAGTTAATATTTTACTCTTTATTTATAATTTATGTAAACACATCCTTTGTTTGTGATTTTTTTTCGAGCCTGCTACTTCTGTCGCAGAAAGCTCAAATTAGGGATAGTGATCCGGTGGTGGCTGCAGCGGCAACAAACCTCTTGAAAGCTTCATATTTCAGAAGGTAGAAAACTTGGATGCTTCATACTTTGTATATAGATGCCTTATGATATGAACTTCTGTCTTTCAAATGTCCATTGTCCTTGACCTCATTTTCATGGTTCAGTAACTACTTGAAAAAAAAGAAGATTTTTTGTAATGTTAATTTCTCTCTTATCATGAGTAATAGGATAACTATATTTGGTATGTGGTTACCTTGCAAGGTCTTCATGCCTGTCAGACATTTTTCACTTAACATTGACCTCATTTCATGGATCAGTGAACAAGGTTAAGTTTTCGTGGTCAAGTCCATATCTCAGATATTATAACAAATAGGTCTACTATATTTGGTGTATGCAATGATTGTAAGGTGTACATGTCCAACTGGCAAGGGTCATCTGACCTTGACCTCATTTTCATGGTTCAGTGGTAAAAGTTAAATTTTTGTATTTTGGTCTATTTTTCCAATCCTGTTTGCAACAGGTCAACTATATTTGGTGTATGGAAATATTTTACGATGTAATGATTGTAAGGTGTACATGTCTAACTGGCAGGTGTCATTTGACCTTGACCTCATTTTCATGGTTCAGTGGTAAAAGTTTAGTTTTTGTATTTTGGTCTATTTTTCCAGTCCTGTTTGCAACAGGTCAACTATATTTGGTGTATGGAAATATTTTACGATGTAATGATTGTAAGGTGTACATGTCTAACTGGCAGGTGTCATTTGACCTTGACCTCATTTTCATGGTTCAGTGGTAAAAGTTTAGTTTTTGTATTTTGGTCTATTTTTCCAATCCTGTTTGCAACAGGTCAACTATATTTGGTGTATGGAAATATTTTACGATGTACTTGTCAGTCTGGCAGGTTTTATTTGACCTTGACCTCATTTTCGCGGTTCATTGCTCAATGTTAGGTTTTTGTGCTTTGGTCTGTTTTTCTTTAACTTTAAGCAATAGGTCAACTTTATTTGGTGTATGGAATGATTGTAAGGTGTATATGTCTGTCTGGCAGGTATCATCTGACCTTCACCTCATTTTCATGGTTCATTGGTCAATGTTCAGTTTTCCTGGTTTGGTCTGTTTCTTTTATACTATAAGGGTCTAGTATATGTAGAACAACAAAATGTTTTGCAAGATCTTTGTTAGCTTACCAGACACATAAGTCTACTGGAATCTTATATTACCACTATGTGACTTTGTCCATCCATAAACCTTAATAAAACAATTCTTCTCTGAAAGCAGAGACTAACTTAGACTAACTTGGTACTGAAGTAATCCGCAATTATTCCTGTGGTATTCAGCTGCAAAATATTTACAACTGATACAACTTGTATGGCCTATGTTGCAATGAATTGAATATAGGGGTAGCAATGACAAAAAGGAGTTTTCTCATAATTTCATCTCATTTTTAGTACACAGATGTACAACAAGAAAGAACCATTTTACACAAATATACAACACTATATAAAAAATAGTTCCTACATGACATTAAAAGGGAGATAATTATTCGATTCATTGAATTTGTATGTGCAAGCAAGATCTTTTGAAGGTAAACTAGACCTATGATGTCATTTTGTGAGCCAGTTGACTGTACTTCTAGTTGTTTACGGCCCTCAAACATGCATTTACTGAAAACTGATAAAAAAAATGACAAAAGTGAAACAGTTTTACTTTTTTTCATTAATATTCAAGAATGATGACAATCTTGCACAGAAAAAGGTTTTTGTCTCGGATGTCTTGCACAAAACTGCTATTGTGATTCAAACTGGCTTTGATGAACTTTTGCTCAAATTCAAATTTTACCAAAAACTACATCAAAATGATAATAAGGAGATGAGGTATGATTGCGAATTTGACAACTATCCACCAAAGTTCAAATAAAGTGGATGTAAGCAATTATAGGCACCCGTACGGCCTTCAACAATGAGAAAAACCCATACCGTATAGTCAGCTATAAAAGGCCCCGACATGAAAAATATGAAACAATTCATGAAAAATATGAAACAAATGAAACTTTTTATTAAAGGCAAGATATGTCTTTGATATCAAATAAATGACATATTTGCACTAAAGTGGACAGATTATATTATGGAAAAATTTAGGGGACAAATAATGGCTCTGACCATAATTCTCCTTTTTTTCTTACTATTAATAACAATTACAAATTAAAGTCTGGACAAGTACAATTTTGATGAAATCTAAATCCAGAGGCCATGTAAGTTTGCTTAATATTGGTAAACTGGAACAAAAGGCAACCTTGATTTGAAAGTCATCATAATAAACTTATGTCAACTTCTACGTCATTTGGTCTCTGGTGAAGAGTTGTCTCATTGACTTTTGATCTGCAGATATTCCACATGTTGTGGTGCTAAGCAGTAGCTCCACTCATAATTCAAAAGTAAAAGGGAAGCAGGTAGTTGGTGTCTGACAGATCTGAATATCACTCACATCAATGTCAAGCTGCTGACCAAATATGAAGTCATTCTGTTCAGTAGTAATGGAGAAATGTGTGATGAAAAACTTTAATATAAAATAAGGAGATGTGGTTTGATTGCTAATGAGACAACTATCCACCAAATGACATTGATTTAAGCAACTATAGGTTACAGTACAGCTTCAACAATGAGTAAAACTTGTACCATATAGACAGCTATAAAAGACCTTGATATGAAAGTTTATTAAACAAATCAAATTATTCAAAGTATTGGCAAATCCTCACTGTGAAGCTGCTAACCAAATATGAGGTCTTTTTATTTAGCAGTACCTCAGAAATAATGATGAAAATATTTGTTAGATGAATGGACAGACAGACAAGGTGATTGCAGTATTACTCCACTCTTAAAGAAGTGCATAAAAGATTGGAAAAGGCGAACGTTCCTGAAATTTTTGAAGTCAAAGGGCTGTCATTCTGCCAAACACATATGTACAAAAAAATAAGCTAAATATCTGCAGGCATAACAAAAAACTAGAGGCTCTCGAGAGCCTGTGTCGCTCACCTGACTCTACTTTGGTTTTAGAAATCATGTAAAGATAGATAAAAATCATAACAGATACCCAAATAATGATTGAGGCCAAATTTTGATTAATATTGGTCCCGTTATTTAATAAAATATCCTGGTGGCCATCTTGAACAGTAAATCAGCAACAAAGTAGCAACACTTGGTCAGCACTTCATAAGGAACATTCATGCCATGTTTGGTTTCATTCCATTCAGTGGTACTCTAAAAGAAGACATTTGTATGTATTTCCCATAGGGTCCTATGTTAAACTAAGCCCCCCGCTGGCGGCCATCTTGGATGATGGATCGGCTACAAAGTAACAACACTTGGTCAGCATCTCATAAGGAAGATTCATGCCATGTTTGGTTTCATTCCATTCAGTGGTTCTCTAAAAGAAGACATTTGTATGTATTTCCCATAGGTCCTTTGTTAAACTAAGTCCCCTGCTGTCGGCCATCTTGGATGATGGACCGACTGCAAAGTAACAACACTTGGTCAGCACCTCATAAGGAACATTCATGCCATGTTTGGTTTCATTCCATTTAGTGGTTCTCTAAAAGAAGACATTTGTATGTATTTCCCATAGGGTCCTATGTTAAACTAAGTCCCCCGCTGGCGGCCATCTTGGATGATGGATCGGCTACAAAGTAACAACACTTGGTCAGAACCTCATAAGGAACATTCATGCCATGTTTGGTTTCATTCCATTCAGTGGTTCTCTAAAAGAAGACATTTGTATGTATTTCCCATAGGGTCCTATGTTAAACTAAGTCCCCCGCTGGCGGCCATCTTGGATGATGGACCGCCTGCAAAGTAACAACACTTGGTCAGCATCTCATAAGGAACATTCATGCCATGTTTGGTTCCATTCCATTCAGTGGTTCTCTAAAAGAAGACATTTTTATGTATTTCCCATAGGGTCCTATGTTAAACTAAGTCCCCCGCTGGCGGCCATTTTGGATGATGGATCGGCTACAAAGTAACAACACTTGGTCAGCACCTCATAAGGAACATTCATGCCATGTTTGGTTTAATTCCATTCAGTGGTTCTCTAAAAGAAGTCATTTGTATGCATTTCCCATAGGGTCCTATGTTAAACTAAGTCCCCTGCTGGCGGCCATCTTGGATGATGGATCGGCTACAAAGTAACAACACTTGGTCAGCACCTCATAAGGAACATTCATGCCATGTTTGGTTTCATTCCATTCAGTGGTTCTCTAAAAGAAGACATTTGTATGTATTTCCCGTAGGGTCCTATGTTAAACTAAGTCCCCCGCTGGCGGCCATCTTGGATGATGGACCGACTGCAAAGTAACAACACTTGGTCAGCATCTCATAAGGAACATTCATGCCATGTTTGGTTCCATTCCATTCAGTGGTTCTCTAAAAGAAGACATTTTTATGTATTTCCCATAGGGTCCTATGTTAAACTAAGTCCCCCGCTGGCGGCCATCTTGGATGATGGATCGGCTACAAAGTAACAACACTTGGTCAGCACCTCATAAGGAACATTCATGCCATGTTTGGTTTCATTCCATTCAGTGGTTCTCTAAAAGAAGTCATTTGTATGCATTTCCCATAGGGTCCTATGTTAAACTAAGTCCCCGGCTGGCGGCCATCTTGGATGATGGATCGGCTACAAAGTAACAACACTTGGTGAGCACCTCATAAGGAACATTCATGCCATGTTTGGTTTCATTCCATTCAGTGGTTCTCTAAAAGAAGACATTTGTATGTATTTCCCATAGGGTCCTATGTTAAACTAAGTCCCCCGCTGGCGGCCATCTTGGATGATGGACCGACTGCAAAGTAACAACACTTGGTCAGCATCTCATAAGAAACATTCATGCCATGTTTGGTTCCATTCCATTCAGTGGTTCTCTAAAAGAAGACATTTGTATGTATTTCCCATAGGGTCCTATTTAACTAAGTCCCCCGCTGGCGGCCATCTTGGATGATGGATCGGCTACAAAGTAACAACACTCTGTCAGCACCTCATAAGGAACATTCATGCCATGTTTGGTTTCATTCCATTCAGTGGTTCTCTAAAAGAAGTCATTTGTATGCATTTCCCATAGGGTCCTATGTTAAACTAAGTCCCCGGCTGGCGGCCATCTTGGATGATGGATCGGCTACAAAGTAACAACACTTGGTGAGCACCTCATAAGGAACATTCATGCCATGTTTGGTTCCATTCCATTCAGTGGTTCTCTAAAAGAAGTCATTTGTATGCATTTCCCATAGGGTCCTATGTTAAACTAAGTCCCCGGCTGGCGGCCATCTTGGATGATGGACCGCCTGCAAAGTAACAACACTTGGTCAGCATCTCATAAGGAACATTCATGCCATGTTTGGTTCCATTCCATTCAGTTGTTCTCTAAAAGAAGACATTTTTATGTATTTCCCATAGGGTCCTATGTTAAACTAAGTCCCCCGCTGGCGGCCATTTTGGATGATGGATCGGCTACAAAGTAACAACACTTGGTCAGCACCTCATAAGGAACATTCATGCCATGTTTGGTTTCATTCCATTCAGTGGTTCTCTAAAAGAAGTCATTTGTATGCATTTCCCATAGGGTCCTATGTTAAACTAAGTCCCCCGCTGGCGGCCATCTTGGATGATGGATCGGCTACAAAGTAACAACACTTGGTCAGCACCTCATAAGGAACATTCATGCCATGTTTGGTTTCATTCCATTCAGTGGTTCTCTAAAAGAAGACATTTGTATGTATTTCCCGTAGGGTCCTATGTTAAACTAAGTCCCCCGCTGGCGGCCATCTTGGATGATGGACCGACTGCAAAGTAACAACACTTGGTCAGCATCTCATAAGGAACATTCATGCCATGTTTGGTTCCATTCCATTCAGTGGTTCTCTAAAAGAAGACATTTTTATGTATTTCCCGTAGGGTCCTATGTTAAACTAAGTCCCCCGCTGGCGGCCATCTTGGATGATGGATCGGCTACAAAGTAACAACACTTGGTCAGCACCTCATAAGGAACATTCATGCCATGTTTGGTTTCATTCCATTCAGTGGTTCTCTAAAAGAAGTCATTTGTATGCATTTCCCATAGGGTCCTATGTTAAACTAAGTCCCCGGCTGGCGGCCATCTTGGATGATGGATCGGCTACAAAGTAACAACACTTGGTGAGCACCTCATAAGGAACATTCATGCCATGTTTGGTTTCATTCCATTCAGTGGTTCTCTAAAAGAAGACATTTGTATGTATTTCCCATAGGGTCCTATGTTAAACTAAGTCCCCCGCTGGCGGCCATCTTGGATGATGGACCGACTGCAAAGTAACAACACTTGGTCAGCATCTCATAAGAAACATTCATGCCATGTTTGGTTCCATTCCATTCAGTGGTTCTCTAAAAGAAGACATTTGTATGTATTTCCCATAGGGTCCTATTTAACTAAGTCCCCCGCTGGCGGCCATCTTGGATGATGGATCGGCTACAAAGTAACAACACTCTGTCAGCACCTCATAAGGAACATTCATGCCATGTTTGGTTTCATTCCATTCAGTGGTTCTCTAAAAGAAGTCATTTGTATGCATTTCCCATAGGGTCCTATGTTAAACTAAGTCCCCGGCTGGCGGCCATCTTGGATGATGGATCGGCTACAAAGTAACAACACTTGGTGAGCACCTCATAAGGAACATTCATGCCATGTTTGGTTTCATTCCATTCAGTGGTTCTCTAAAAGAAGACATTTGTATGTATTTCCCATAGGGTCCTATGTTAAACTAAGTCCCCCGCTGGCGGCCATCTTGGATGATGGACCGACTGCAAAGTAACAACACTTGGTCAGCATCTCATAAGAAACATTCATGCCATGTTTGGTTCCATTCCATTCAGTGGTTCTCTAAAAGAAGACATTTGTATGTATTTCCCATAGGGTCCTATGTTAAACTAAGTCCCCCGCTGGCGGCCATCTTGGATGATGGATCGGCTACAAAGTAACAACACTTGGTCAGCACCTCATAAGGAACATTCATGCCATGTTTGGTTTCATTCCATTCAGTGGTTCTCTAAAAGAAGTCATTTGTATGCATTTCCCATAGGGTCCTATGTTAAACTAAGTCCCCGGCTGGCGGCCATCTTGGATGATGGATCGGCTACAAAGTAACAACACTTGGTGAGCACCTCATAAGGAACATTCATGCCATGTTTGGTTTCATTCCATTCAGTGGTTCTCTAAAAGAAGTCATTTGTATGCATTTCCCATAGGGTCCTATGTTAAACTAAGTCCCCGGCTGGCGGCCATCTTGGATGATGGATCGGCTACAAAGTAACAACACTTGGTGAGCACCTCATAAGGAACATTCATGCCATGTTTGGTTTCATTCCATTCAGTGGTTCTCTAAAAGAAGACATTTGTATGTATTTCCCATAGGGTCCTATGTTAAACTAAGTCCCCCGCTGGCGGCCATCTTGGATGATGGACCGACTGCAAAGTAACAACACTTGGTCAGCATCTCATAAGAAACATTCATGCCATGTTTGGTTCCATTCCATTCAGTGGTTCTCTAAAAGAAGACATTTGTATGTATTTCCCATAGGGTCCTATGTTAAACTAAGTCCCTCGCTGGCGGCCATCTTGGATGATGGATCGGCTACAAAGTAACAACACTTGGTCAGCACCTCATAAGGAACATTCATGCCATGTTTGGTTTCATTCCATTCAGTGGTTCTCTAAAAGAAGTCATTTGTATGCATTTCCCATAGGGTCCTATGTTAAGCTAAGTCCCCCGCTGGCGGCCATCTTGGATGATGGATCGGCTACAAAGTAACAACACTTGGTGAGCACCTCATAAGGAACATTCATGCCATGTTTGGTTTCATTCCATTCAGTGGTTCTCTAAAAGAAGACATTTGTATGTATTTCCCATAGGGTCCTATGTTAAACTAAGTCCCCCGCTGGCGGCCATCTTGGATGATGGACCGACTGCAAAGTAACAACACTTGGTCAGCATCTCATAAGGAACATTCATGCCATGTTTGGTTCCATTCCATTCAGTGGTTCTCTAAAAGAAGACATTTTTATGTATTTCCCATAGGGTCCTATGTTAAACTAAGTCCCCCGCTGGCGGCCATCTTGGATGATGGATCGGCTACAAAGTAACAACACTTGGTCAGCACCTCATAAGGAACATTCATGCCATGTTTGGTTTCATTCCATTCAGTGGTTCTCTAAAAGAAGTCATTTGTATGCATTTCCCATAGGGTCCTATGTTAAACTAAGTCCCCCGCTGGCGGCCATCTTGGATGATGGATCGGCTACAAAGTAACAACACTTGGTCAGCACCTCATAAGGAACATTCATGCCATGTTTGGTTTCATTCCATTCAGTGGTTCTCTAGAAGAAGTTCAAAATGTAAAAAGTTAACGCCGACGACGGACGACGCCGGACGACGACGGACGACGGACGCCAAGTGATGAGAAAAGCTCACTTGGCCCTTCGGGCCAGGTGAGCTAAAAAGGACAACTGTTTGCTTTCAAAATGAAATAAACAGCTGCGCCATGAGCGCATGATACGCCTGTCGCTTTTTCAAAGAGTAAAGTTCAATAACTTCTCAATGTCATATCAGAAATTTAAAAAAAATAAAGAGAGGTTATCTTAATAGATATAAACCAGTCACCAAAGTTCCACGAAAACTGCTCAAAACACTTTAAAGATATTGTTAGAAAACTGGAAAATCACCCCTTTTTATGAATAAAATCCCATAACTCGGAAAAGTAAAATCTTAAATTATAAAAATTAAAAAGGGAGCTTATGTCAATAGATATAAACAATTCACCAAAGTATCATGAAAACTGCTGAAAGCATTTTTGAGTTATTGTCCGAAAACTGGAAAATCCCCCTTTTTTTAATGAATAAAACCCCATAACTCTGAAACCTAAAAAATTTATAAAAATCGAAAGGGAGCTCATGTCAATAGATATAAACAATTCATCAAAGTATCTTGCAAATTGGGGAAAGTGTTTTTGAGTTATTGTCCGAAAACTGGAAAATCCCCCTTTTTTTAATATTAAAACCCCCATAACTCGGAAATGTAAAACCTAAAATTATAAAAAACGAAAGTGAGCTCACATCAATAGATATAAAAAATTCACCAAAGTTTCATGCAAATTGGTTAAAGCGTTTTTGAGTTATTGTCCGACATGTAGACGACGGACGGACGGACAGAGGTATACCATAATATGTTCCGTAAACGGGCATATAAAAAGGAAGGAAGGATTGAATGTTCAACTCTGGTAACACTATACACCTTGGCCATTTAGTGACAGACCTTAAAAATAAACCATAAAACTACATCTCTACTTTTAATTATCTTATTTAATGAAAATACAAAGTTTTACAAAATATTCTTATAAAAAATAAGACTAGGTGTAAATATAGATATAAATTTGATGCAATTTTATGTCAATTGATTGCTCTCTTACTAATAAAGCTATAACATAAACAAATGAGTATTTTGACTGAAATACTTGTGATAACAATATGTTTCACACTTTTTTTATCAAAACAAAGACTTGGAAACAGTTTTGCTTAAATACGTAAAATCAATTTTCCACAATTTTAGAGCAAAAAAAAAAATAATAAAACCCACAATATTATTTGCCCATAGGATAAAATGCCCTACTTGCACAATCTCATTTGCATGTTCAGTCAAAAACCTAATTTGGCATTTATTTTCAAAAGTTCACATCACAATGAACATGTGTACTAAATGACCACAACTTTATGGTAAATTACCTCAATCCAAAACTTGATATGGGAAGAACATACAATGGAACTAACAGAAAGACTCTCAGACCAGAAAGCATAATTCCCCTTACTATAGTTGGCTGGGCATTTAAGCAACAAAACTTTATTCTTCAGGACAATTTTGTTTTGATTGGAAGGCTGTTACACTTTTTAACTTTTGTTACATCTAGCAAATACTGGAGAGGTGATAACCACACCAACACCAAGTGATGGTATCAGTTCAAAACTGATACAGTTAATATGAGGTTAAATATCCTAGAAAACAGTTAACATAGGTTAATTATCTTAGAAAACTAACATATAAATGACATGGACTATTAGTCTGATTAAAATTACAATTCATTTTCAAGAAGATTTATACATTGTTGTTTTACACAACAACTGCACATCAGGTGACCAACATGAAATGAATAAAGACTGATACATGTTCAAAAGTATTGACTTAATTAAGGATATGAATATCAATGAAAATAACTATTCCAAGATCTTTAAAACAAAATCTTCATTTACCAGTAAGTCATCTTAGAAGAAGTTTCCACAATTCTAAATTTCTAACAAAACAAATCGCTATCAAAATGACCTGCAATTAAATAAGATGTTAATACATATACAATGAACATGAAGATAAAGTTATAGATATTTTAACAATAAATAAATATAAATAATACTGCATATGGTAATGTTGTAATACTGAGTATAGCACCATGACATGTCATGTTTGGCAAACTTTATAACATTCATATAAATAACAGAATAAAACTCTTTTCTTAATATAACATCATTTTCATACATTATCCATATTATACAATGTTTTATACTTTATAAATAAATATATTGACTTAGAAACAGTGATTCTTGTGTAGTACATAACAATGTTAAGATCTCATACTTGGAGCCATAAAACTGAGTGCTGCTTGAGTGGTACATTTGTATCTACATCATGTAATTGTCAAATAATAAATAATATGACTAATGTCAAAGACATTCATGACTTGATTCTACATTACATGTAAATGTACATATTTATATTCATACATAAGTTCAGATATAATGAAACCAGCAAATATCATATCTATAAACTACGAGCTGTCACTTCTATAATAATGGATGCTTCAATGTCAACAGAGGTCGAAGATGAATGACTACCCTTAATGTACACACTATTAGTTGCTTTCTGCTTCAAGAAAAGTCTGATATGATTCACTTTATTCCACTTTTCCCCATCTCTATATAAAATAATCTATACTGTCTCTAAGTCTGGCTGTATGTCACGAGGAGTATAAACTTCCAGCATCTAGATACAGTCTCGCTACTTCATAACAATGCTCGTACTGTTCCTGAAATATTCAAAAGTTTTATTTAATAATTAAAGAACCTAAGTGAGCGCACTCACATACCCCACGTCCCCACATTGTCACTGGAGAAATAAAATAACTGTAAGAAAAAAAAATGTATAAGAAAAAAAAATTGAATCATAATTTCCTGTTGATATGCACATCTACATAGTATGTCCTTATTATCTACAAAGTTTCATGAAATTCTGTTGTGTGGTTTCAGAGGAGTTGCGATGACAAACTGTTGCAGAGGTATATTGAAGCAAATAAGTTCAAAGGGGCATAACTCCTAGAAAAAAAATTGAATTGTAATTTCCTGTCGATATGCACATCTGCATTGTATGTCTTTATTATCTAAAAAGGTTTCATGAAATTCTGTTCTGTGGTTTCAGAGGAGTTGCGATGACAAACTGTTGCAGTAGTATATTGAAGCAAACAAGTTCAAAGGGGTGTAACTCCTACAAAAAAAATTGAACCGTAATTTCCTGTCGATATGCACATCTGCATAGTATGTCCTTATTATCTAAAAAGGTTTCATGAAATTCTGTTGTGTGGTTTCAGAGGAGTTGCGATGACAAACTGTTGCAGTAGTATATTAAAGCAAATAAGTTCAAAGGGACGTAACTCCTAAAAAAAAAATTGAATCGTAATTTCCTGTCGATATGCACATCTGCATAGTATGTCCTTATTATCTTAAAAGGTTTCATGAAATTCTGTTGTGTGGTTTCAGAGGAGTTGTGATGATAAACTGTTGCAGTAGTATATTGAAGCAAATAAGTTCAAAGGGGCGTAACTCCTACAAAAAAAATTGAATCGTAATTTCCTGTCGATATGCACATCTACATAGTATGTCCTTATTATCTAAAAAGGTTTCATGAAATTCTGTTGTGTGGTTTGAGAGGAGTTGCTATAAGAAACAGGACTGACGGACTGACGGACGGACAGACGGGTCAAAAACATTATACCCTCCGCAACTTTGTTGCGTGGGGTATAATAAATAGATGTATAAACTTAATCTTTGTTTTGCTGCTGAACTTCACAATGAAAAACATTTATACTTGCAAGTACCATTGAACAAAAGAGTTAGATGGGAGGCAACTCCTTTTTTAATTAAAATGTAACTCAATATTTCACAGAGTTCCTATTTTCAGATTCTTAAAATGTTGTTCCTTTTTCCACAGTTGCAAAATGGGCATAAATACATAACAGTTAAAGTCTGAGTAGCATATGATTTTGGGTTTGATGAAACAAAGATCATAAAAATATACAATTTGTAATGGGAGATAATTCATACAATTATGACAAGACAACATACAACTTTTTCTACTGTTAATTCAATTTTATATCAAAGATATAAAGATCTGTTTGTGGAACTATTCAGTAAATCCAGATATATGGTAAGCATCTCCTTTTCTATTTATGATATATTGTACCTGTTATATTTTAAATACTAGGTTTTTATGTGACAGTATTTGAAATAAGTTTATTTTATGTTTTTCCTATTTTATCTTTGACACAACATAATATGTTGATATAACATTAGATATATTTTAAACTCAATTCTGGCTTGTTATTCTGTTTGCACTATAAGTCCAATCATTTGATGCTACATCAATGAATGCATGGACTTACTGGATGAATGAAATTACTGGATTTAACTGTATTTGTTCTTGGTAATACTCAATGATATTTAGGAGGTAACTTTTTTCTAAGGTAATTCCATATCTGACTTTCTACATGTAATTTAAGTGTATTCAAAGTCAGTGTAATTGTCATCTTCTGCAACAGGTTGGTATAGAAGTGTTCTCAAAGTAACCAAAATTTCCTGGGTTCTTTATAATAATCATGAGAAAAAAGATACTTTGATCTTTAGAATAATTTTAAGAAACTGTCAAAGCACTTTAGTCATTTAATGTTTGAGTGGTTTGATTTTTTCAGTCTTTTTATTGTTTTTTGAACTTACTTTGAATAAGAGAACTTCTGGTTTTCTATTATGAATCTGTCTAAATGCATGGAACACATCCACATCTTGATAGATATCCAGTGCATCTAACACATTAGACACTGCACAATATAATGCACCACGACTACCACCGTCCCTACAATAAAACATTGAATGTGTCAAGTATGTAATTATCTGTATAGAAAAGTGTTATTAATGGTAGTCAGTTGTATGGTAAAATTTCTTAGCACCTATATATACTTTTGTAATGACAGTATTAAATATCCATCCATTCCTATATCTACTGTAAGAACAACAATAACTTCTTTATAGATTAACTTACACATGTTAAGAAAATGCATGTAACATTTTTAACACAAGCAATCCAAAAACAATTCATCAAAGTTATCAAAGAAAATCTACGTTTCATTTTACAAAAGTTCCCTTACAATTACAAACATATAAAAGAACTTAGGTGTGTTAACAGGATACACTGGGACCCTGCCACTGAATCAAGTGAGATACTATACTTCTCCAACCAAGTCATATACATTCTGAAACTTTAAAACACAAAGTCTCTCATGTGTTTGAAATACAGTACCAATCTGCTTTCAGATGGAGATATGGTTGAGGATATGTATAATTTAAATATGAATTAAAGAAAAAAATGTATTAACTGTATGCAATTTGAAAACTGAAAATATACATATTACAATAGTAAGTTTTTTTTTTAACTTAGTGACCTTGATCTATGATTTACCTGCTTAAAACCGAAATAGGTTTTTGACCTTGACTTTCCTGCCATTTATGTATATCATTGTGTAATTCAAACCAGTAGTCAGCATCCCCTGGTACATCCTGGTTCTCTGACCAACCTGTTCCTATCAATATCTTAATGTCCAAACTTTTGTTGGAATACTGAAATCAGAAAAAAGATAATTGTTAGCAGGTTGATAATTTCTCATAACAGTTATGTAAGCTGAAGGAACCCTTACTTTAAAATTTACGATCTAAAATATGAGTGGACAAGCAATTTTTCCCTCTCCTTTCATTGACAACCAATTAACATCGTAATGCAGTAAATCATGCCGATTTAAATTTTTGAAACAATAGTTTTCTTTTGCCAAAAAATTGATGCTGACTAATTGGAAGAAATTTACTTCAATTATGAGTGGCCTAAATTCAAAACATTCAGCCACTATGTTTATCTTTAAATCAGTAATACTTCCCTAATACTATTGATGATAAGAAAAAATTAAAATTGAAGTTTCATACATTTTTAGGTAAAAACAATAGTGCTCTTTTTCAACAATGCATTACCTGACAAATTACTACCGGTAATATTCATTGTAACTTATTGTCTCTCAAAAGACAGAAACAGAAAAAGGAAGATTTTGTTTATGCAATGTGTAATCCTTTTAGAAATTTTTCATCCACCAGACAGACAGTAATAATAATAAACTGTTAACACAGAGATATGTCTCGCTTTTTTGTACTTTTGATAATGCAAATGTTGAAATTAAAATAGCAATACCCTAACATGTAAGTTATGCAAATATTCAAAGTCAATGAACCATGACTGAAGGTACATGGCAAAACAATCTCCATGGAAATGAGATGTGCCAATGCTAATACAACTGCATACCAAATACCATAGACTTATCATAATTTGTTCCCTTTCAACAAACCTAAACGCAAACATTGACTTGTAAACTATGTAAAAGTTTCAAAGTCAATGAACCATGATGAGGGGGTGGGGCTATATAATCTCCATGGAAACAAGACTTGCAAATGCCAATAAATTTGCATACCAAATATCATTGACTTTAACATTAGCGGTTCATCTTAAACTGATCTAATCACAAACTAATACATGTAAACTAAGCAAAAGTTTCAAAGTTAGTAGACCATGACTGAGTGGGCAGGACCAAATATTCTCCATGAAAATGAGATGTGCTAATGCTTATACAATTGCATACCAATTAACATTGGCCTACCACTAATGGTTACCCTTGAACTGACCTAATCACAAACTAATACATGCAAACTAAGCAAAAGTTTCAAAGTCAATAGACCATGACTGTGGGGGCGGGACCAAATATTCTCCATGGAAATGAGATATGCTAATGCTTATACAACTGCATACCAAACATCATTGACTTACCACTAGTGGTTCCCCTTGAACTGACCTAATCACAAACTAATACATGTAAACTAAGCAAAAGTTTTAAAGTCAATAGACCATGACTGAGGGGGCGGAGCCAAATAATCTCCATGGAAATGAGATTTGCCAATGCTTATACAACTGCATACCAAATATCATTGACTTACCACTAGTGGTTCCCCATAAACTGACCTAATCACAAACTAATACATGTAAACTAAGCAAAAGTTTCAAAGTCAATAGACCATGACTGAGGGGGCAGGGCCAAATAATCTCCATGGAAATGAGATGTACCAGTGCTAATACAACTGCATAGCAAATATCATTGACCAACCACTAGTGGTTCACCTTAAACTAGACCTGATCACAAACTAATACATTGTTGACGCCAACGACGCCGGAAACAGCATACCTATGCCTCGCTTTTTGACTCCGTCAAGGCGAGAAAAAAATAATAACCTTAGTCTTCAATGTCCGTTGAAATAGTAAGCATGCAAAAAAAGTTTACAAAATCCACCAGACTAAGCACAGTAAGTAAATTTACAATAACGAAAATTATTACATGCAAGATTTTTTAAGAATTCTGAAACCAATACCCAAACCAATTCATAAAGATAAGGTTAAAAAGTGATCTTAGATTTGTTGTCATCGGTATACAACATGCCATTTAACAAAGAGTGATCAATTTTAAGTAAACTTCAGATAAGAACATTCAAAAAAAAACTATTTTAGTATTGACAACCAATTATAAATATAATTTTAAACAAACCCTTGGAATCATTAGTATGCAAGAAATTTAGTGAAAATAAGCAACAGAAAGCAAAATCAATAACCAACCATAACAACAATGAAGCTGAAAATTTCATGACAAAATGTTAGCAAGTCATTTAGTAAGAATTTTACCTGTGCTGCTTTCTGAATAAACATAAACATAAATTCTTAACTACAGATTTCAGTTAAACACAACACTTTTCAAATTCAATTTCAACCAAAGGATTCATTGAATTCTATGAATATAATATTTGAAATTTTAAAGTAGTATAACTAAAATTCTCCAATTCTGTATGTATTTAGGCCAGTTCTGACAGTCTGATAAATTCTGATAAACCACATGTTGTTTATTTGTCTCAAAATCCATTCAGAAGATTGTACTTTGCTTTTTTTTAGTATTTATCCACCCTTGATAGTTAAATTGTGAAATTTAAACTTTTCTTGTGACAATAAATATTGTATCTATATAAATATATGTCATTTTATATCATTTTATTTTCAAAACATTTCTATGTATAATACATGTAAAACTCATTTACCCTCTTTTCACATTTTTGTATGAAATAAAGTTTCATGTCTACATTTTTTACCTTGTTTGAAAGATTAACAGTAATGTCTCTATTTCCAGACTGTGCTACACAGTGTATTACAAACGCTCCTAAAGTTAAACTTTCACCAATACCAGGCCAAAATACACCATTATCCTGAAATAAAACAGAAAAAAATCATCTACAAGAAACTAAACTTTTACAAATACCTTGTCAAATAAACTATTATGTAAAATTCAATAAAACAATTGAAAATCCACTACTGCCAAAATATCCCATCTTCTGAAATCAGAGATCATTACTGTCAGTTGCAACTTTCATTTGTTTTTTTATTTCACTTGATGACAATTATTCTGGCACCAAAATTTCTCTGAAATTGTTCCTAGGATAATAAATCAAACCAGTCTTTTCTCTATTGGAATGCTTCATACTAATTTTGTTACAACGTTCTGACCATCAATAGCCAAACAGTTTTATATTTACTTTTGTTTATAAATGCATCTGAAATCATTATCTGACAGATAATAGTCAGTCTTAAGTTGTGAAAACAATATATTAATACCAATCAAAATGTATCATCTTTATGATTTTATTACTCTCTAATGACTTTTCAATGTACAAATGTTTCAGCGTCTCAAAATTACTTTTTATTAAAAAAAGGATCTTTAGACAAAAAATTGAATCAAAACCTTAACTTGTATCTTATTTGTAATACTCTCAACACATCCAGTTTGAACAAGTCTTCATAAAAAAAAAATATTCTAAGCAGAATTTGGTGATGTTGTGTGGATGGTTGTCAGGACGTTCCTTGGAGTCCACAAAATAACGTTGTATTGACATCATTTTGCGATGTTGTCACAACAGTAAACAAATGTTGTCACAATGATTCAACAACATTGAATTGTTTACTGGGTATCTTTATGGTAGGTCTAGTTCTTCAAGCATCTTTGAAAATTAAGGTTTGTGCTAATAGGTAAGTCAGTTGCCTTATTAGTATATGTATGTCCTGTTTTAGCTACTATACTACATTTGTGGCAGATAACACAAAAACTGAAAAACATGAGTGAAAAATTACTCTGGATTGAGATTCTAATACAAGTCCTATGAAAATAGATTCCGTTCTTGTTTTAGACATTAGTAAGAGAACTGCATTTACCTGTTCATCAAAATGTAAAATATCTGTAATAACAACAGTGTTAGACTGGTAATCATATAACATCTGCCATAAATCTACCACAGTCGATTTCATTGGGAACTGGGTCAGGATAAAACCCTGCGGACTGTAGTGAGACTGGAAAAAAAATTATTTAGATTAACTTGGTTATATAATATGTTATCACACATAATGCCTTTATATATTTAGAAAACATATCCATTGTTAACACTTATCTAGTAAATGTGATGAATTAAAATTGTTGTTTTCATTTTTTCAGCATGTTCATATGTATTTACTGCAAGTATCAAACAATCAACAGCCATTTTGTATGTTCTTAAATCACAACCAAAAATGTACCACAAAAAAAAATTAGAAAGAACACTAAAAACTCTTGTTTCAAATTATACGAATGGGAAAAATCACATGCAGTTGTAAAAGTCTTATAAAATCTAACTTCCATACCACTGATATGGGAGATAACTCTAAGTTTAAATTATAATGTACTGCAAGAAAAAACTTTTTTTATTTACCCTCAGTACATTTACTTGTTTTTTTTTTTTTATGAAAAAATAGTTTTGTCTGCTTATATCAGGAAGACAACATGTTGTGTAGCAGTTATATAACACAACTTAATATTCCTTGCTTTATAAATATATATCAACTTATTTTCTAAAATATTCTGACATATTTTGGTATTACAATCTTTGTACTTACTGGCAAAATAACAGCATTGATATAATCAGTACGGTTTACAGAATAAGACTGGAGATAGGCTCGGTATTTATCCAAGGCCATTATTTTACTGTTTCTGTGTTTGTCAATATTGACAGGATCATTAGCAATAGAATATTCACCATCTGCGAACTCTGGTCTTAATGCCATCAAACTCTGCAAAGATAAATTTCTTTAATTATCAATTTTACCCTTTTTATAATTAAAACATGATTGCTTTTGTTTTGATTATACCTGAAAAATATTAAATATCATTAACTGATGGCATGAAACCAAAGGTATTCTAACATATAAATACAATGTGCTTAAATGCAATGTAAAATTATAAATAAAAAAAAAAAAATTCATAAATTAAAAATAGAAAAAGTAAACACTGAAACAATTGTATAGTACAGCTAGAAATCTGCATGTTTTATTGAAAACATGATATTTTATACTCTAAATAAAAAATGTACCAAATATTCATCGTGGACTTTGTCTTTAAACTGTGGATCTGCCCAGACTTGGTAGAACATATCTCTAGATATCACAGGATCTTTGCTGCAGGCAAACATCTCAAGTAAAGTTGTATGTATAAATATATACTGAGTCTGAAATCAAAATCAAAAAGAGTATGTACAGACTTTATCAATAAATTAAAACCAGGTTTTAATATTTTTATCGATGTTGCTTTCCAAAACAATGAAAAATTTTCCTCCAAAAAAATCATTAGGATTTCTTTTTTGGAGAGGAAAGAAAGATCTTTGTCATTCATAGCAGTCTCTGTCATACTTGCATATTATCATGACAGCTTCTATTTATTAATGTATAAAATGTAGATAATAAATAATCCCTTGGTCATTAAAAACTAGAGGCTCTCAAGAGCCTGTGTCGCTCACCTGATTCTACTTTGGTTTTGGAAATCATGTAAAAATAGATTAAAATCATAACAGATACCCTAATAATGAGTGAGGCCAAATTTGGTTTAATATTGGTCCTGTAATTTAATAAAAAATCCTGGTGGCCATCTTGAACAGTAAATCGGCAACAAAGTAGCAACACTTAATCAGCACCTCATAAGAAACATTTATGCCATGTTTTGGTTTCATTCCATTCAGTGCACCTCTAGAAGAAGCATTTGTATGTATTTCCCATAGGTTCTTATGTTAAAGGAAGTCCCCCCCATTGGCGGCCATCATGGATGAAGGATCAGCTTCAAAGTAACAAAACTTAATCAGCACCTCATCAGGAACATTCATGCCATGTTTGGTTTCAATCCATTCAGTATGTGGTTCTCTAAAAGAAGACATTTGTATGTATTGTCCATAGGATCCTTTGTTAAACATTGTCCCCATCTGGCAGCCATCATGGATGAAGGATCAGCTTCAAAGTAACAACACTTGGTCAGCACCTCAAAAGGAACATGCATGCCATGTTTGGTTTCATTCCATTCAATGGTTCTCTAAAAGAAAACATTTGTACGTATTTCTCATAGGGTCCTATGTTAAACTAAGTCCTCCGCTGGCCGCCATCTTAGATTATGGATCAGCTTCATAGTAACAACACTTGGTCAGCACCTCATAAGGAACATTCATGCCATGTTTGGTTTCATTGCATTCAGTGGTTCTCTAAAAGAAGACATTTGTATGTATTTCCCATTGGGTCCTATGTTAAACTAAGTCCCCCGCTGGCTGCCATCTTGGATGATGGATCAGCTTCAAAGTAACAACACTTGGTCAGCACCTCATAAGAAACATTCTTGCCATGTTTGGTTTCATTCCATTCAGTGGTTCTCTAAAAGAAGATATTTGTATGTATTTCCCATAGGGTCCTATGTTAAACTAAGTCCCCTGCTGGCAGCCATCTTGGATTATGGATCAGCTTCATAGTAACAACACTTGGTCAGCACCTCATAAGGAACATTCATGCCATGTTTGGTTTCATTGCATTCAGTGGTTCTCTAAAAGAAGACATTTGTATGTATTTCCCATTGGGTCCCATCTTAAACTAAGTCCCCCGCTGGCGGCCATCTTGGATTACGGATCGGCTTCAAAGTAACAACACTCGGTCAGCACCTCATAAGGAACATTCATACCATGTTTGGTTTCATTCCATTCAGTGGTTCTCTAAAAGAAGATATTTGTATGTATTTCCCATAGGGTCCTATGTTAAACTAAGTCCCCCACTGGCAGCCATCTTGGATTATGGATCGGCTTCAAAGTAACAACACTCTGTCAGCACCTCATAAGAAACATTCATGCCATGTTTGGTTTCATTCCTTTCAGTGGTTCTCTAAAAGAAGACATTTGTATGCATTTCCCATAGGGTCCTATGTTAAACTAAGTCCCCCGCTGGCGGCCATCTTGGATGATGGATCGGCTACAAAGTAACAACACTCGGTCAGCACCTCATAAGAAACATTCATGCCATGTTTGGTTTCATTCCATTCAGTGGTTCTCTAAAAGAAGACGTTTGTATGTATTTCCCATAGGGTCCCATGTTAAACTAAGTCCCCCGCTGGCAGCCATCTTGGATTATGGATCAGCTTCAAAGTAACAACACTCGGTCAGCACCTCACAAGGAACATTCATGCCATGTTTGGTTTCATTCCATTCAGTGGTTCTCTAAAAGAAGACATTTGTATGTATTTCCCATAGGGTCCAATGTTAAACTAAGTCCCCTGCTGGCGGCCATCTTGGATTATGGATCAGCTTCATAGTAACAACACTTGGTCAGCACCTCATAAGGAACATTCATGCCATGTTTGCTTTTATTCCATTCAGTGGTTCTCTAAAAGAAGACATTTGTATGTATTTCCCATAGGGTCCCATTTTAAACTAAGTCCCCCGCTGGCGGCAATCTTGGATTATGGATCGGCTTCAAAGTAACAACACTCGGTCAGCACCTCATAAGGAACATTCATACCATGTTTGGTTTCATTCCATTCAGTGGTTCTCTAAAAGAAGACATTTGTATGCATTTCCCATAGGGTCCTATGTTAAACTAAGTCCCCCGCTGGCGGCCATCTTGGATGATGGATCCGCTACAAAGTAACAACACTTGGTCAGCACCTCATAAGGAACATTCATGCCATGTTTGGTTTCATTCCATTCAGTGGTTCTCTAGAAGAAGTTCAAAATGTAAAAAGTTAACGCCGACGACGGACGACGCTGGACGACGCCGGATGACGCCGGACGACGGACGCCAAGTGATGAGAAAAGCTCACTTGGCCCTTCGGGCCAGGTGAGCTTAAAATCAATCTGTTGTATACTGTGGACACAGTTACTTTCGTTGGTACCAATTTTGAGGATTAAAGAAACTAAATTTTTTGTGGAGATTTAATTTTGTGGTTTTGCTAAAGTTTGCAATATCGTTGAACATTTAAATTTGTGGTTAAGGATGTACACCTCTGAGGAGCAAAATATTTCTAGAATTAAACTTTTTTCTTAACCTGATTTTTGGGTTTATATGACTAAATAAATAATTGGTGAAGAAAAAATCATATGGTGGTGCACTTCTTTTTTTGCTACAGCCATTTGAAAGTACCCAATTTTGATGATTTTCCCATTTTTCATCAATTTTTACCCATTTTGGGCTATTATCAGTTTCACAATTAAATTTTTTTTCGTACTTTCACTAAAGATGAAGTGGACCAATCTGAATAAATTTAAGTTAAAAAAACTCTAGGTAGGTATTAATATAAGAAAGTTTTATAAAATTTTGTTGCTTTTTCGTGTCAAATTTACCATGTTGTCAATTTTGTAAATTTGGGATTTTTATCTTTTTTTAGAACAAAAAGCATATTATTTCAACTTCTTTGTTATAAATGATTGAAAAAATACATATCTAAGAAATTTGAAAAGAAAAAAATTGATATTGGATGTACGTTTCTGGTAAAATCATTTCTTGTACCCCTCACCCATTTTCTCAACATTTTGGCTAATGAGACTGACATGATTGGTTATAAAATTTGAAAATTTAATTACTCAAAAACACAATTTTTTCACAGAGTTAAGTTTGATTATAATATTTTTTAAATTCATTGATATTTTCCACTTGTATCACATACTTTGGAAATAATTCCAGAACGAGATTCAACGAGACTGAAACCTCAGAAGAATACATCCTTATCCAACGAATAATAATGAATCCACAGTAATTTTCTATGAAAGTTAGAATTGGAATGAGCCAGTTGTTGTACTTTAATTCTTCAATTTGTTTTTTCTATAATGAGTAATAACTACCAAAAACTCTCAGAGGGAAGTTTTGAAAACCTAATACTCTATACTTACAAGAGTTTGCACCATGTTAACACGATTTTGTCTCATCTCTCTGACATACTGGTTAATTCCTAAGTAATAAGAGGCTTCCCCTTGTTTAAACAGTGAATCAATAGCAACTAATGTACCTGTACGACCAATGCCAGCACTGAAAAATTCAGTTCAAAATTAAATTACATACCCAGATGTCAATAAAAAATAAAAGTTCACATTTTTAATTGCTTTCTTACCATTAAAAATATAAATAATCTTTATAAAGAATAGAAATTAATTGCTATGTTGCATCTAATGTCCACTATTGCTTCTTTTTGGAAAGGGGGACAACTTCCACATTTAGTCTTCCAAAAAGAATATAACTTTATCATGCACATATTATTCAAACTATTTCATAACAAGTATCGAACAAGTGAAACTGTGAGCTACTGCTCACTGATGATACCCCCGCCCAAATAGTTTGGTAAACAGGAAGTTGTTGAGTGATGAATCTGAAAATGCATCACACGGTATAGCTGACTTATATAAACCCTGAAACCAAATTTCAGAAATCCTTATGATATACTTCCTGAGAAAGATGCGACGAAAAATATTCATGGGACGGATGGATGGACAGATGGATGGATGGACAGACAGAGGTAAAACAGTATACCCCCACTTTTTTAAAGCAGGGGTATAAAAAAGGAGATGCTGGGTCAACCTCATGGAGACAGCAACCCAATGACATAATTGGACAAGTACTGGGGAACTTCTAAAGTTTAACATACTTACCTACAATGAACAACCATTGGACCACTCAGAGGTGTAGAAGTTTGTGATATTTTCCTGTGAAATATCATTATTTGGAATGGATCTGGAACTCCATGGTCGGGCCAGGCAGTAAAATGGAATAGAGTTATATTTCTTGTTTCATTTCTCTGGAAATGAAGAAAAAAAGACATAAACTTTTTTCAATAGTATAACATGTCATGCAATCACATCAATATATATATATATATAAATACTGTGTTAAAAAGCAGGATTTTTGGTAATTTTTAAGCAGGTTTTGTTCATTAAATTCCTTAGATAAAAATACTATTTTCAGTTCAGTTCTGTTAAATCTTTCAAATCATTTGCTGCATGTTGTTTATTTCCGAGATAAACAGCTGTTGCCAAACTACAGGTATTTCTTATGCATAATTTGTCCAATACATATAAACTGTGTGAGACAAAATACAGTGCCCACATGAATCATGCTGTGATAAGCACAGTCCTTTATTCATTTTCTAGAATTGCAAATAAAAGCTTTGAAGTTTTTTTGAAATCAAGTCCTAAAAGTGTACCTTACAATTTTTTGTTTGGACTTAAAATAGATTCTCTGCAAATCCTATCAGTCCTAAGCAAATAACAGCCTGGACACTTTCAGCTTAAAATGAAACCTTATAAAAGAGGAAAGAAATATAGTACAAAGACAAACCTCCACATCAATAATAGATATTTTCCTGACAACAAACGACGGATAGTTCTCCTCAGAATTAAGTGATATCTGTAAACTGTTTAATAATAAGTCACTGTCTTCTGTTGGCCAGTACTTATAACATTTCACCTAGGAACATCAAATAAATAATGAACATCATTTCAGTGAACTTTGTTTAGAATGTATAAAACTGTTAGCTTTCATAACAATTTGGTACTGGTTTCAATGTTAACCAGAGAAATGAAAACACTTGCTAGCAACTCTGTGTAAACTATTCCGTCATGTGCTACTCTGCCATATTTCATTCTCACACATGTCTATCTCCTTTTAAAAGCATAAGTTTTCAGAATATTGTTAAAGAGATAAGATGGCATTTTGAAGTTACAGGCAAGTTACAGAAACATTTTACATTGTTCTTGTTGTATATAACTATATATTAAACTAAAAATTGGACTTCATATTAGTGAAAAATGGGGATCATCTATGCAAAGGGAATGTCCACATGTAAGGATATGTTTCAAAGTAATCTAAAACCTGAAGAAAATAAGAATGGATGTTAGGTGTCACTTTTATACAAAGAAAAAAAGAAGGGAAATTTGACCTTTCTGTTAGAACACTGGTTTTTTAAGTAAGATTAAAAAAAAAAATCATATATAAATTTGTGTTACCTTATTGGCTTCCACTAAATTAGTCAACATAACAATTTTGCCAACATCCTCTTGCCAGATCATACACCAAAAATCTTCTGTTGTGTTTCTAGTAGGACCTGTTTGAAAAAAAGTAACTTTCAGAATATTAACACAATATAACAAGGCTTTAACTTTATGGCAAACTGAATTTTCAATGGTTGATTACAAAATCATGACATGCTTTATACATGGCTTTTTTCATTATCCCTGAATTATTCAAAACTGATTGTATCTGACAAGTTATAAATGTAATGTCAATATATTATCATTTATAGATTGCTTTCTAAACAAATATTGCACTGGACATTAAGCAAGCAAAAATCAATCAATCAATTTAAACAAATGAAAATCATGAGTATTATGAAAAGTTATTATTTATTGAATACAATTACCTTGTGTAGCTATGTATGCATTTCTTCTAATAAAACCCTGAAATAAGAATATGTAACCAGTAAAATATTGAATCACAAATTCTATTTCTGTTAATGAAACATTTAATGAATTTACTTTTGATGAAACAACTATGTGATAGATTATATTTACAAATTATGTTTTCATAAAAGATTATAGATTAAAAATTTCTCAAGAGTTGAAAAGTAATACATGTGTAAAAATAGTTATTCAGTTTTTAGCAAGTTGAGGAAATCTTGACTTATACAAAAATCTCTAAATTAACTGCTAGTTTAATGTTAAATATATGTGCTCCATCTTGGAAGTCCTGATGGAAAGAATGAGAACTCTTCATATTTTTAGATTCAACATGAACTTTTTGTAAACTCATTGGCACCTTGGGAAAAAAAATGTGTATGAGAATCATATTTTACAATGAAATCTATTAGGAACCTGTAAACCTCCTTTAACATGAACCTCAACATAGCAAATTGACTTATATATCCCTCTTTCTACCGCTCTTCAGTACAAAGGTCACTTACATCTATATAGTTAGCATTAATATAATCTCCCTCAACTTCTCTGTCTAGTACTACTCTAGAATGGTCATCTGTAAAACACAAACAATGAGTATTTTAATCTGTCAGTACATTTATCATGACTTCACACTGACAAAGACCAGCAGAGAAAGGAGATTGGTCCTGAAATCAATTGTACTAACATTTCTTGAATTATTAAAATGCAGAAGTAAAACTTGGACATATGTATTTTTATTAATAAAAGATCACAGTTTGGTTTGTAAAGTTTTTCCCTTTAATGTATGCTGAGAAATAATGTAGAGCCTGTAATTGTGTGTTTATCTATAGGCTGCCAACATTATTTCAATGATGTCAGTCAAATTGTGTCTTTATACATAAAATTATTCTTGAACGCTTTTATTTTCAAGAGTAAAAAACTTGTTCTTAATAATGATATTACAGTATACAATTTTTCATTTTCAGTAAATTTGGAGGGAAATAAATGCCCCATCTTGTACCTTCTTCCTTGATGGCATAATTGAATTTGTATCAATGAAAAGCAGAATACATTTTAAATCATCAAACATCAAGCAACTTTTCATGAAGAGTATAAATTGAAAAATAATCAGAGAAATTAGAGTAAAACAAATAAAAAAAACAGGCTTGCCAAGTCAACAATTCCAAATTGACCATATATACAAATTATAAAACACAGGTGATCACAACTCAGCATTTATCATAGGTCATATTCCTGAAAAGAATATATTGGATAATGAAATTGAATTCTTCTGTGGGTATAACCTTCAGAATCCAATTCTTAATAAAAGAACAGAGTTCCAATGTCCCCAGCGTTGCACATATTTTATCTATCCAAGGTACAAGGGCAATAACTAAATAAAACACTTTTTTTTTGTTAGCGCTAACGAGGCAATTTTCCATAAATTTAATATTTCCAAGGGGCAGAACTCTTTTAAAAAAAGTCGATTGGCCACCATTATAGAGCTTGTTCGAGATATTGCAGATATTAACCTAAAGTATAAGTTTTATAAAAATCTTGCAAGAATTGTACCCGTGAGAGCGCTAACGACGCCATTTTCCATGAATTTAATATTTCCAAGGGGCATAACTCTTTTAAAAAAAGTCGATCGGCCACCATTATAGAACTTGTCAGAGATATTGCTGATATTAACCTATAGTATAAGTTTTATAAAAATCTGGCATGAATTGTACCTGTGAGAGCGCTAACAAGACCGAACGGACACACGGACGGACATCCAGTATTTCCATGTCCCCCGCAACGCGTTACGCGGGGGACAAAAAATGCACATAATATCTACTCATTATCAAATACTTACAAGAAATCATATTTATATATCTGTTTTTACTTCTATTTTCTTCAAAAAGACCTATTTTATGTGGTAAAACCATCCCAGCTGGTAATACCTATAAAACAATAAAACATCTTAAAAGAACCTAGCTTCAGCAATATAATTTTTGTTGACACATGAATGACGTATATAACATGATTATAAAACAATACTAGGAAATAAAAAATAATCTTGGATTTTGTTTTGTATCAAAACCATCTAGTGTTACAATCAGACTATAACATAATGAGTTATTAGTTTCTGAATAATGATCATCAAAACTTAAAAATGTATGTTGTGATTACCATAGTTGGACAATAATGTGATTTTTATAGAAAATAAAAATCACAGTGAAATAACACCAATGAACCATACTAGGTTGCAGCCAAATTTAGACAAGTTGAATTTCAATATTCAATGAAAAAGTAGGTCATGATGACCTGATGGTTGTATATCACAATCATAATTAGAGACATGTACTCTAATGTGTGCCCAATTTGTTACAAATGCACCTCAAGGTGGCAAATGTACTGTCTTCAAAAATCAACAAATGTCTACAGCAATTTTCTGATAAATGGAACTAAGCACAAAAATGTAAAAAGTCTCCATAACATGAAATGTAGGTCAAGGCAATGCAAATGCTGTAAACTATTTCACATTATGAAAAAAGAGGATTGTGGTGAAGAATAGTTTATATACTATATATATAAGTTGCCAAGTAATAAACATATAAATAAAATTTAATCTAGCATTATTCATGCCTAAAATACAGGTCATGGCAACCTACTTGTTGACTCACAATTTTACTGTATGCAAATTGAAATTTCACTTCAGTCAATACTTTAAATACCTTATATTCCTTTTCAAATCCTTTCTTACTATTCATTGCAGCTATATATGACTGTAGCTTGTTGACAGGTACAGCTTTCCTTGTAGGAACATTGCTATACACATGATTTTGGCTGTTTGCACTACCCACACTTCCTTTGCCTACACTGCCTAAACTTGCCAAACTTGGATTACGACTTCTGTTTAATGATGTTGTTTCTGAAATGCAATAAATTATATTAGATAATGATGCATTTTTCCATCTTATCTGGAATAGTTATCTGAAAATAGAATAAAAAAATACAGGTACACATGTATCATTTAGATTTGGAACTGCTGTCAGTTAAGGAGCTTCTCTATTTCCTTTCTGCAAAACCAATAAAATATTTCTGAGTTTTCTATGCAGTGTAGTTTATAAAGATTTTCTATTTAGAAAACATGTCTTCATGCAAAAGATTAACAATAATCAAATAAAATGGATTACAAAAAAATCAATACTGAGATAAATTCAAGATATGAATATAGTTTTTTTTTTGGTACATTGGTGGTTTAAAAAAATATTGTTTTTAATACTTTGAACCTGCTATCTGTATGCTCTCATCCTTAGATAGCAAAAGAGATTTGTAGATCTTATTAAACACACAACAGTATGAATGTGTTTTTCATCATCCTAAACTTTTTGAAACCATTGACCAATACACAGATTTACTGTAAATGTACAAAATACCCAGATAAGCAATGTCAAAATGTTTTTATTCTTTTTTCAAAAAATCATTTGACTCATAATTTGATGTAAAGAAGCTTCTGTTTACTTGTGAAGATTTCTATGCAAATTTTGAATATAAAAAAAATAAAAACCTCATGGTTAAGCATTATAAGTATTCCATACCCTCAATATATTAACTTTTCTACTTGGATAGAATTGTAATGTTTTTGTCTTTGAAAGTGCTCCTATCCAGAGGTATGTTTTTATGTCTTATCGCAATTACTAAGAATTATCTAATGTGTATAAAAGAAGAGTGTTCCAATGTCCCATGATAATCCACATATTTTATCTGTCTAAAGGACATAAACTCAAATATATGTTTTTTTATCTTTTATTTTATTCTACAACTTTTCAAGAAATGTAGGCATGAGAGTGCTTACAATACGATTTTTAATTATAAATTACATTTCAAAGGGACATAATTCCAATAAATATAGTTGATTCACACTGATTTTCTAACTCGTCCAGACTAGATATAAACCTTTGATATAAATTTCATAACAATAAGACAAAAATTGTAGGCTTGTACAGTGACTTATAGTTGCTTAAACACACATCATTTGGTGCATAGATGTCTTGATGGCAGTCATATCACATCTCTTCATTTTATATTGAGAGCATTAAAATGCATTTACATTTCCAAAAGACATAACTCCTGTAGATATAATTGATCAGAGTTGATATTCAACAAGTTTCAGACAGTGCTGATATAAACCGTTGATATAAATTTCATAAAAATCCTACAAGAAATGTAAACTTGAGAGTACTTACAATGCAATTTCCATGTAAGGGGCACAACTCTTTAAAAAAATTTATTACAACAGATTTTCACCTGAACATTGCTGATAATAACATTTGATATAAATTTCATAAAAATTTGGCAAGTATTGTGCATGTGAGAGCACTTACAATACTAGAAGGACAAATACACAGACATTCCAAAGGGCATACCTCCTTTAAAATAGTTGATCAACACTGATTGTCAAACTTGTCAAAATAATTAGATACTTTATCAATGAGTGACTCAGTCTATGAAGCCAAAAAGATTTGCAATTCCTAGAATTGCTAGCTTTATCAATAACATTACCATAAAAAGCAGGATGTGAAATACCACTTTTTATTAATAACCTGCAAGTGGAATCCAACTTTTGCAATAAATCCCTATAACTGTAAAGAAATTTTATAAGTGTTATTTGGAATTATCATGATGAAAACATTAAGTTCATAGCTTAATCATATCAAATTAACTTACAATGTACACTTCATTAGACCTCGTCAATGAAACATAAGAATCAAGGAAAAGAAAATAAACCTTAGTAAAGGAAAAGTCGTCCTATTTGTCATAAGTTGTGTTTTAGGAATCTCTATATTGTGTATGAATCTCTATATTGTGTATGAATCTCTATCTTCTGTGTTCATTTTGAGGACTAGTTCTAGTAAAATCTAAATCTGCCTTTACAATGTCAAAGCATTGCTTTGCCCTAGACAAATTCTACCAGTCTTATGATTTTGGATGATTTTATTAGTGTCTTCTTTTCCTTTCTATTACAAATAAGTACTGTTAAAAGTATATAAAGGATTCAAAGCAGAAAGATCTAGACAGCAATTCCACTAAACATCAGCACCAATTATTGTATGGGTCAGTCCAGTAAACTTCATCTTATCACCAATAATTGGAAGGGTCAGTCCAATTACCTTCAGTCTATGACCAACAATTGTATGGGTCAGTTCAATTAACTTCAGCTCTAAACCAAAAATTGTTAGCGTTGGTCCACTAAACTTCAGCTGATCACCAAGAATTTTAAGGTAGACACAATAAACCTCAGATTATCACCTAATAATTTAATTTTGGATGTAACACTTCTTATGATTGGTTGAAAGTTTTTTGTCTATCAGCTCATAGACATAATTTTGTCATGTGACCATGACGTTATCAATGTTTTTTCATGATTTACTCCTTAAAAATGGAAATCAGAATTAAATTTTAAGGAATGACTGTAATATTTTTTCTGTCTATTTGATATACTGTGGATTCATTATTATTCATGGATACCAATTTTCATGGATTTCGTGCGTACAGGTGAACAACGAAATTAAATGTTCAACGAAAAAACAAAATTTCTATAGGCTTGTCAGCAGATTTCGGTAAAAGCACGAAATTAAATATCCATGAACATGTAAGTTTTCCTTAATCCACGAAAATTGGTACCCACAAAAATAAATGAATCCACAGTACCTCAAAAATGTGGTGCACACTTTTAAATAAACCACTATGCGGGTTATTCAGTGTGCACCACATTTTTTATGTTATTTCTTCATAGACAGATAAAATATTACAGTCATTCCTTAATAAATGCAAGGGTAAGCTAATTCAACTTCAGCCTATCACCAATAAATGTAAGGGTCAGTTATTTCAATTTCAGCAGATTACTAATAATTATAATGGGTTCAGTCCAATAAACAGCTTATCATCAATAATAATCCACATAACTTCAGCCTATCATCCATAATTGTAAGGGTGTGTCCACTTAACTTCAGTCTATTACTATAATTGTAAGGTATTGTGACTCACTCCAGTCATTTGCATGGTGCTCACAGAAGGTTGGTGGCTTATCAAGGTACTTTCAGTTGCCTCTACCAATAGACTTAACAGTACTTCAATCTAATTGTACAAATGTGTATAAAACCTTATCAGACAAACATTAATAAAAGAACCAAGACAGTAAATTGTGGCAATGATCATTGTTATTAACTATTAGCAGGTTAAGAAAAGTTTATAGTCAAAATATAAAGAAATTGAAGCAAGCAAAAAAGGAAAACTTTTCACGCTTTATCATACTGATATAGGATTACACCAATAACATTTCTCTTCTACAGGTTATTCTTAAATTGTAAATTACTGTTTAATCATTTTACAAGGAAAAACAGACAAAAAAAATGACAAAAAATAGGTGTCAGGACAACTGGAATGCAACCATCTTTAATATGATAGAAAGACCTAAAAAGTTTTTCATTAGAAAAGAAACTCGAATTCAATCTGTTGCTCACCATTATGCATTTGTGCACCAAAAATAAGTTCAATATTTACAGACATAAAATAAAAGAGTTCCAATTTCCCCCATGTTGCACATATTTTATGAGAGAAATGAAGGCTTGAGAGCAAATGCAATGCAAATTTTCCATATAATTAATATACCCAAGGGGCATAACTCTTTTAAGAATAATTGATCGACACTAATTTTCTAACTTGTCCGAGACATTGTTAATATAAACCTATGATAAAAGTTTCATAAAAATTTGGCATCCACATGAGAGCACTAACAATGCAATTTTCCATATAATCAATACTTCTAAGGGCATAACTCTATTGAAAATAATTGACTGGCACTGATCTTTGAACTTGTCTGAGATATAAACCACTTGTGTGATATAAACCTATGATATAAGTTTCATAAAAATCTGGCAAGAATTGTACACATGAGAGCGCTAACAAGACTGGACGGACAGATGGACAGAAGGACACCCAGTATTTCTATAACCCCCACAACGCATTGTGCGGGGGCCATATATAACAAGTGTCTGATTTCAAAATGATGCACAAGGATATGGCCTCTGAAGGGTGCGACACAAATATAAAACTTCCAAAAAAATAATCCATTCCAATGGTTTGCAAGTACACCAGCTAAAGCTAATAATCAAATTCTGCATATAAAGAAAAGAGGAGTTCGGTATTTTTTTATACTTTTTTTCAGCATATAAAAAAAAGAAGCAGAGTAGGTATTTCAACAATAGATTATAACTTGTCAATGTTTTTCTTAGGGAACCTACTCAAATGAATTTAAAGAGAAAACATTTATCTTCACAATATTTAGGTCAGGTGTTGTCTAAAGCAAACAAACTGCTATCATTTGTCATTTTGGTGTCTTCCTTCAATTATAAACACTTATTTTTAATAGAGGCTTGACCAAATTACTTCACAATTCAAAACATTATTCAGACATGTATAGATTTCCACATCAGAATGAAAATGAGATATTAGATTCATCAGATAGACTGCTTGTAAGATTGAGACAAAAAACATACCTGTTCGTGGAAGATCAAACTCTAGAAAGAACATAAAATAATGCACAATAGCAAGTAAACATGCAGTATCAAATTAGATGTTTGAGCCACAACTAATACCCAGACATTTAGTCTGCTTTTCTCACAGAAGTATCAAAATAGTACAACCTCCTGTTCACTGCTCAATGAATTTGGATTTTAAATTTTTGGGTTTCTAATGACACTCAATGATGTTTGCTGTCAATAAATATGTGTTCCTCCTGTGGAACTTTATTATAAACAATGCAATAATATCTGTTCCTGTTGTAACAAATACTATAATCTCTATTCTTTCAAAAACAAATACTGTAATATTTCTTCCAGTGGAAATTATATTCGGAAATATTTCTTCCATTTAGGAACTAATATCATAAAGGAACTTTTTTAACTAACTTGCAGTAACTACGAGTACTCCTAGATCGGTACCTTGTATTCTTAATAGTTACTTAAGTGCTTAGTACTGATTTGATGAGTCAAGCCCTTTTCAACTGATTTTTACAGTTTGTTCTAATTTTTTACTGTTACACAATGCCCAAGGTTATGGAAGAATTGAGTGGTCTCAAACATGTTTAACCCCTCAACATTCTTTATATGTTCTTGTCTTTTTGTGTTTGTCTCAAGTCTGGACCAGTAATCTAGTTGTTGTCTTTGGTTGTTGTCTGCCATATTTGTTTTGTGTTTAATGTTAGTATAATAAATCAGGCTGTTAGTTGGAATTATTTCATAATTTGTCATCCCAGGGCCTTTTGTAGCTTACTATACAATATGGGTTGTGATCATTGTTGAAGGCAATAGTGACCTGTAGTTGTTTAAATCCTTTTCCTTTGGGGGATAGTTGCCTCTTTAGCAATCATACCATATCTCTTCATTTCTATATTGACCTGTATTTCATGGCAGGCATCAATAATGCAAGCTATAAGGTTATCATTCAAAGAAAACTAAATTATCATCTGGAAGCCATTTTCAGGACATGACCGACAGACAGAAGGAAAAAGTGATGACAATATGCATAAAAAGGGTTTTTAATAGGATATTCTTTTACCATTATTTAAAAATTTCATAAAATAAATTATAATAGAACTTGATAAAGATAGGACTTTTATGCCTAAATACTGCAGAAAACAATTTTCTTATATTTGTTTTGATCTAAGATTTGATGATTCATCAATATTTACTTCATTAAATGTGACAAAAAAATACTTAATCAGAATTAGATTTAACGCCAAACTGTATACCCAGAAACTTCTCTATTTTGTTTTGTTGGTAAACTGTCATTTCCTAGTATTATCATTCAAATCTTATTGAATACTCAACATTCAAAGGTTGCTATTCATACCATCAGGGTTATGTCACATATGAGATCTGGACAATTCCCAATGAAAATCTAGTTATTAAATGTCATTAAGAAATATAACAGATAGCATCAAAATATATACATATATATATTACATGTGTAACAACTTATCATGACTTACCATTTATTACGTTAACAGATCCATCTGGTCTGGACTTTTTGTATTCATTTAAACGGACATTTGTGTACAAATCTGCACTTTTTCTTCGGCTTTTCTTTACAAGAATTCTGGACAAAAAACAGATAAAAAATATTATCTAATGATTGGTTTTGTTTTCCTGTTTGTAAATTTAACTCAATGACTTGGCAGAAATTGCCCTTATATATTATGGCTAAACTATATACTGTAAATTCAGAAATTATTGCGAGGTTTTTATTATTGCGACAAATGCGACAGAGTTGTAAACGCAATAATTTAAACTTGCATTTTGAAATATTTTATATGAACTAAACAGGATTTTTCTCAAAATCGTAAAAATTAAAATCGCATTTAAGTCTAAAATGACAAAATCGCAATAATAAATGCACGCAATAATTTCTGAATTAACAGTATATGTTACAGGGATTTTGTAAAATCCAGAGAATAATTAGTTATTAGGCTCCGTGTTGAAGGCCGTACTTTGACCTATAATAGTTTACTTTTACAGATTGTGACTTGGATGGAGAGTTGTCTCATTGGCACTCATACCACATCTTCATATATTTATTTTGTAAAATCCCAGAAATTGTTAGGGATTTTATAAAATCACTGAAAATATTGCTAATTTGTAAAATCCTTGATTACAAGTTTAAACTTGATATTAGAAATGTGTTTTTTCTAAATATAAATAGACCAAAGATTTGACTATATACATCCTTGAATAGACCAATGATTTTGAAATAATTTTTTCAATAAACACTACTAGTTAAAACTATTGTACAATGATTATGAATAAAAGGCATAATTGAACTGCTTTTCGACAGGCACACCTATTTTGTTTACATCTATTCTTTCCAGAACATCCACATTTTAAAAACCTTGTCCATCACAAATGGAAGACAGTTTCAATATGAAATTGTCAATAGATACAGCTGACGGACTAAAAAACAGGGAATCAGTGGGTTCAAACTGGTTTCTAGTTTCTATTGTAACAAAATACCATGTATGGTAGCAAGACAATAATCTTTCTCTGACTTTCCATGGACAATTGGCATTATATTTCTTGTGCCACCCTTCCCACGATCGACAACTTGGATAGGAACAACAACATTGCATCCAATGTCTACTTCTAAAACTTTATTAGACCGACTTATTACATAATATTGGCTCATTTTTTCATTGATTAAGAAGTGTTTGCACGTTTATTTTCAATGACGGTTTCCATATGATTACTTTTGACGGAAACTCTTCTGTTATGACCAATTTTCCACATTAAGCATGTACAGCTTTTTTAACAAGTAGAACACAAAGTTGCATTCACTCACTTAGTAATAAAATTAAACGCTAAATTAACCCCAAACTTGTTGAGTGTAACTGCTATAGGTTTTTTAAAAAGAATTTTTTAATCAAAAATAATAATTTTTTTTTTTAAATTCCCTGAAATTTAATGAGAGAATCTGTAAAAAAGATCTTAATTATTTCAGAGATTTTGTAAAATCCTTAGTCAAAACCAGGGATTTTATAAAATCACTAATCAGTTCAGTGATTATACAAAATCCCTGATTTTACAAATTCACTGTAACATATATGTTTGTCAATGAAAAAATATGCATATCTTTATAATGTAAATTCAAATGTTGATGCAATGTATTTTTTTTAATTAGACACAATAATAAAATGACTTCATTCAGAATTTATTATTGAAATTTGACAACTTTGTTTTAATCATGCATAATTTCCCCAAAAAATCTAAATGTCATGCATTATAATATTTAACTTCTAGTCAACTCAAATAAATAAAGAAACACTTTAATTTCTAATTTTACAGCATTGAATAGAAAATAAAATGTTCTTTATTCACTGAACTTATATGCGACGTGTGCCACATGTAGAACTGGATCTGCTTACCCTTCCGGAGCACCTGAGATCAACCCTGGTTTTTTGTTGGGGTTTGTGTTGCTCAGTCTTTCTATGTTGTGTTCTGTGTACTGGGGTTTGTCTTTTGGTTGTTCTTTGTTTTTTGCCATGGCATTGTCAGATTGTTTTGAATTATACATCTGAATATCCCTTTGGTGTCTTTCGTCTCTCTTTTATAAGCTTAACTTAAAAATGTTAAAATTGTAAAGAAAAAATATGTTCCTCTAATAAAACTTAAGATAAACCTCATAATATTCAATGTTTGATACTTACACAATGAAGAAAACAATGACTAGAAGTAACAAAATAGGAATCACTATACCAACAATTAGGATGACATTCTGTGAGGATCCAGTAGCTGGGCCTGCTGTTATTGAAACTGGAATAAAAGGAATAAGATGTTATAACAAAGAATGACAATAGTCACATTCTGTGAAGATCCAGTAGCTGGGCCTGCTGTTATCAAAATTAGAATATAAGTAATTAGATGTTTTTACAGGTAGGACATTCTGTGAAGATTGAGTAGGATAATTGACAAGAAAAATACCATATACTGTTGATTTCTTCAATTTCCTTGGTATCAATTTATGCTGTTGAAGAACAATAAGCTATTAATAGGGTGTATAATTTTATGGTCTCATGATTTACTCCTATTATAGTACTGAGAGTAACTTAAGATTCCTAATTTTTGTCAAGTATTCATTTTTATTTTTTTTTGCCTTTAAAATGTGTATATCACAAATATTAATGAATCAACAGCACATGAGCCTCTATGTGAAGTTAGAATATAATGTGTTTTTAGTGATGAACCACAAAATGTGAGTAAGAACTGTACGCTTACAGTGATATAATGTTAGAGACAATATAAACAATCCTAAATAAACATGTTACTTACATACAGTAGAGCCTATGACAGTTTGTTCCATAGTACTTATTTCAGTAACGACCACAGAAGTGCTATCAGTAGCTGGGCTAGTTGTTATACTCATTGTTGTTTTCTCAGATGCTGTACCAGTTGCCAAACTTGTTGTTTTTTCTTCAGTTGCAGTGTTGGTTGCCAAACTCATTGTTGTTTCTTCAGTTGCTGTACCAGTTGACATACTTATTGTTGTCCCTTCAACAGCAGTGCTAGTTGCCATACTCACTGTTGCCCCTTCAGTAGCAGTGCCAGTTGCCACACTCACTGTTGTACCTTCAGCAGCAGTGCCAGTTGCCATACTCACTGATATACCTTCAGTAGCTGTGCCAGTTGCCATACTCATAGTTGTTTCTTCAGATACTGTAACAGTTGCCTTACTCCCTGTTGTCTCTTCTGAAGCAGTGCCAGTTGCCATACTCACTGTTGTCCCTTCATCACCAGAGCCAGTCGCCATACTCATCGTTGTTTCTTCAGAGGCCGTGCCAGTTGCCATACTCATTGTTGTTTCTTCAGTTGCCATACTCATAGTTGTTTTTACAGAGGCATTGCCAGTTGCTATACTCATTGTTATTTCTTCAGTTGCAGTGCCGATTTCAGTGCCAGTTGCCATACTCATTGTTGCTTCTTCAGTTGCAGTGCCAGTTTCAGTGCCAGTTGCCATACTCATTGTTGTCCCTTCAGTTGCAGTGCCAGTTGCCATACTCATTGTTGTCTCTTCAGTAGCAGTCCCAGTGGCAATACTCATTGTTGTCTCTTCAGTAGCAGTCTCAGTGGCAATACTCATTGTTGTCTCTTCAGCAGCAATCCCAGTGGCAATACTCATTGTTGTCTCATCAGTAGCAGTCTCAGTGGCAATACTCATTGTTGTTACTTCAGTTGCATTGCCAGTCGCAATACTCATTGTTGTCTCATCAGTAGCAGTGCTATTTGCCATACTCATTGTTGTTGCTTCAGTAGCAGTGCCAGAGGTCATATTCATTGTTGTCTCTTCAGAAGCAGAGCCTGTCGCCATACTCATTGTTGTGCTTTCAGTGTCAGCACCAGTTGAAATAATTGATGCTGTCCCATCAGCAGCATTGCTAGTTGCAATACTCATTGTTGTGTCAGCACCAGTTGCATTACTTATTGTTGAGCTTTCAGCTGCAGTGACAGTTTCCATACTCACTGTTGTCTCTTCAGAAGCACTAACAGTTGCTATTCTCATTGTTGTGCCTTCTGTTGCAGTACTATTTTCCATACTCATAGTTATGTTTTCATTGGAAAAACCAGTTGTTTCCGTTGCCATACTCATTGTTACGCCTTCAGTAGCTGTATTAGTAGTAAAATTATGTGTTGCTTCTTCTGTGGCAGTGCTAGTTGTTTCTGTTGCTATACTTATTGTTGTTCCTTCTGCAGCAGTGACAGTTGCTAAACTTTGTGTTGTTTCCAGTGTACCAGTCACACTTGCCATACTTACTGTTGCACCTTCTGTGGCAGTACCAGTAGTTTCAGTTGCACCACTTGTTGTGTCAACAGTGGCAGTGTTAATTGTCATATCTGATGTTGTTTCTTCACTAGAAGTGGCAGTTGCTAAACTGTTTGTTGACCCTTCTGTGACAGTCTCATTTGCTGTATTAACTGTTGCCCCTTCTGTGGTAGTAACACTATTCATAGATGTTCCTTGTGTAGCAGTGCCACTTGCAAAACTTAAGGTAGTACCTTCAGTTTGTGTTATGGCTTTAGTATCTGTACTTTGTGTTGTTAATTCTGAATTTTTTGTAGTATGTTCTGTTTCTGCAGTTTGAGCTGTTATTTCTGTTGCATTAATTTGTGTTGTTTGGTCTGTAACTACAGTCTGTGTTGCTATTTCTGTTCCTGAAGCTTGTGTTGTTTGTTGTGTTGTTACACTTTGTGTTGTTTCATCTGTTGCTGCAGATTGTGTTGTTACATCTGTTGCTGCAGATTGTGTTGGTTCATCAGTTGCTGCAGATTGTGTTGTTATATCTGTTGCTGCAGATTGTGTTGTTATATCTATTGCTGCAGATTGTGTTGTTTCATCAGTTGCTGCAGATTGTGTTGTTACATCTGTTGCTGCAGATTGTGTTGTTATATCTGTTGCTGCAGATTGTGTTGTTATACCAGTTGCTGCAGACTGTGTTGTTACATCTATTGCTGCAGATTGTGTTGTTATATCTGTTGCTGCAGATTTTGTTGTTACATTAGTTGCTGCAGATTGTGTTGTTATACCTGTTGCTGCAGATTGTGTTGTTTCATCAGTTGCTGCAGATTGTGTTGTTATATCTGTTGCTGCAGATTGTGTTGTTACATCAGTTGCTGCAGATTGTGTTGTTATATCTGTTGCTGCAGATTGTGTTGTTACATCTGTTGCTGCAGATTGTGTTGTTACATCTGTTGCTGCAGATTGTGTTGTTATATCTGTTGCTGCAGATTGTGTTGTTATATCTGTTGCTGCAGATTGTGTTGTTATACCAGTTGCTTCAGATTGTGTTGTTACATCTGTTGCTGCAGATTGTGTTGTTACATCTGTTGCTGCAGATTGTGTTGTTATATCTGTTGCTGCAGATTGTGTTGTTATACCAGTTGCTACAGATTGTGTTGTTATATCTGTTGCTGCAGATTGTGTTGTTATATCTGTTGCTACAGATTGTGTTGTTGTATCTGTTGCTGCAGATTGTGTTGTTATATCTGTTGCTACAGATTGTGTTGTTTCATCTGTTGCTACAGATTGTGTTGTTGCATCTGTTGCTTGGTCTGTTACTGCAGTAAGTGTTGTCTGTTCTGTTGCTTCTGTTTGTGTTATTTTTTCTGTTGTTGCGATATCTGATGTTTGCTCTGCTGCTACAGTTTGTGTTGTTTCTTCTGTAACTGCATTTTGTGTTGTGACTTCTGATGTTCCAGTTTGTATTGCAGTTGCAGTCTGTGTCGTGAAATCTGTCACTACAGTGACTGTCTGTGAACTGCTTCCTAGCTCATCAGTAGTTGTGTTTTGAGAGCCCAAGTTCAAAAAATTTTGGTCTGAAAAAAATAAGAAATCTTAAATGGATCTAAATCATGAAAGGTTATAAAGATTGTACATTTTACCTTTTGCCCAAAGGTTGATATATAATAAAGTTTTAACACTTTTTGGCATTCAACTTTTTCCCAAAATACATGATACATAAAAATTTCTATGCTGTCCAATTTTCACTACTTGCTTCTATATATCCTTTCTTTAAACTTGGAAATAGAGATCTTTTAATTCTCTTTTTGTAAATGAAATACTGTGGATTCATTTTATATTTCTTGGTTACCTATTTTTTGTTGATCAACGAAAAATGGAATTTTCGAGGATATTTGAATTTGTAGTTTTGCAAAAGTTTGTTTATAAGCCTACAGACAATTTATAATTCATTGAATATTTAAATTTGTAGTTTCCATATACCCATGAAATCAACGAAAATTGGTACACCACGAATAATAATGAATCCACAGCAAAGAAATATACCAGGGACTGCATGATACAACCCCAGCATGTCACAAGGGAAAGATGATCAAGTGTGTATCATAAATGAATGTGGACACATAACAGGGGTTTAGTCCCTTTTAACTAAGAAACTATAAAATCAACAATAATTTTGATTGATAATCAAGACAGGAACTTTTCATAAAGAATTAAACAAAAATTCAAATAAAAACATCATGAACAACAATCGGTCTTTGAATAAAACGGTTCACCTCAATTATGCATATAATAGCTCTAAAACGGAAAGAATTGTACACAAGAAATGCTTGCAAAAGCCTTTTTAAAGAGGATCTCAACTAGAGGCTCTAAGGAGCCTGTATTGATAGGCAGACATTTTTGCATAACATTGAACAAGAATATTTGTTGTATGGAAATTGTGTAAAGGAGGGGGGTTTGAGGGGGTCTCAACCAAAACCTGAAATCCTGTGAAAATAATTAATGAATCCTGAATTCCAGCAAAATTAATAGTGGATGTTATTTAAAATTGTCGTACATAATTATAGACATTTATAAAATAGCCATGACAATAGAATATGGGTCAATACATTGCCGGTTTTCATTATGTACCAGTGCAAACCCAACACATTATGCCTTCTTGTGTTTTCTTAGAAAAAGTCTAAGTCTATATTTGGAGAAAAAAAAGAGTTCACAATGTCTACACACAGGATCCACGCACTGCAGAGGCTGAACAAAATAATCAAAGTCAGAGTAAGGTTAATGGATTGCTATTAGTAATACAATGTAGTCAAAGATCCTTGATGAAGCCCATAGTGTCTTTCCAGATCTTGACACATTCCAATTAACCATGAATTGAAGTTCTGTTGAAGATGTCTTCGTATTGTCAGAATTAGTTGGTAAGATCTCTTAGTCTGCCTCGGTTTCAGACTCGCTGTTATCGTATTTATCATCATCATACTATATTTGATCAAATATCTCTTTAATGGCTTTGCAGACCGACTCTTGGTATATATAAAGTGGAAGTGTACCACACTTGTATGCTGCATTTCTTGACAAACAGTACGCTAACGAACATATTTTCCAAACGTGTTCACCCACTTATATCAAGGCCGTAATGTCTTCCTTCCTGACAGATACCCCCTTTGGCTTTGAAAGAGAAGGGACCATGTCTGAAGGTAGTCTACAAGTAGGGACAGAATAATAAGACAATTCTGCAATATAATAGTTAGTTGCCCTTGATGTAATTTTGTTACACATTCTCTGAAGATTGTGCCGATGTCTCAACAGTATTGTTGTTTTGTAGGTAATTTCTGCTTTATCCCTCTTGCTACCCTTATTTTATATGGTTGCATTTCGTGTGTAAGAAAATAAGACAGCTGGACATTTGTGACATTACATGCCCAACAAAGACGTCATTTGACATATGACGTAATGCCCTAATGACATTTCATTGGGGACCCATTGAAGAAAAATATAACACAGTTTAATCTTCGGTAATTATTTGAAAGACATACAGCAATGTTAAGAAGCTTGCATAATTAAACATATGGACATATGTGTCCCAACGGCACAGCCTGTGTGGACACAAGTATCCTTCCGAAAGCAAGAGTGTTAAGTGGTAATGGGGTGAAATATCCATCACGGTAAAATTAAAACCTGATTTCCTGCTGAAAAAATATGTCCGTTCCCTCATCCCGATATAATGAAATTCAGAATTCCCGATGATTTAACTTGCTATTCCTGTGAACAGCTCAATCCAGACATCCCGATAAAGGTCCTTCCAACCCTCAATATAGTTTTTCCCAACAATACAAAAGAGTGGATAAAGTGGGTTACAATTCTGATCTATGGGCAACAACTCCAGTAGAAGTTCAATTGACAGTTTCATCCATATTGACTTATTTGTGGAAGTTTTTTGCTGTTCAAAGTCTCAGTATTATAGTTTTCACTAGATAAAAATACTGAAATGGGTAATAAATCATCATTTAATTCAGGACAATAACTCCTGTAAGGGGTCCTCAGACAATTTTAGTCATGTTGACTTATATGTAGATCATATTTTGCTGATTATTTTTGGTATCTACAGTTTCTCTCTATCTACTTCAGTTAGTCAAAAATGCAAAAATTGGTAAAAAATCATCATTCAAGATCTAAAAGGAGACCATTGACGATTTCCACCATGTTCTCTTAACTGCAGACCTTTTTTTGCTGATCAATTTTGTCAATTACAGTTTTGCTCCCTCTACTAAAGTTTCCATCAAAAACTGGTTTAATTAGTCATTCGATGGCAATAAATAACTCCTACAGCGAGTCAACAGATGATTTTGGCAATGTTGACTTATTTGTAAATCTCATTTTTCTCTTCTCCAAAAGTGGTGGTTTGTAGGTCATAACCCCCAAAATTTTGCAAAGGACCGAGACAATTTTGGTATTTTGCAATAGAAATAATAGTGAGGACCAGCATATTTTCTTCAAGGACCACAAAAGAAAAAAATAATTCTTTTTTTGCTTATCATTTTTGCTTTTGAAAGTTCTCTCTATTTACTATAATTCTTGCAAATTAAAACACACAAAAAATTCCCTTCAAGGACATTAACTCCTACAAGATTAGATTGACAATTTTGGTGCAGGTTGACTGATTGATAAATCTATTATTTTGCTATCCACAGTTTCTTTCTATCTACTACAGATTCTGCAATTAAACATAAAAGAAACAAGAAATGATTGTAACAGGATGCTGTTACGAAGTCTCCCAAACGAAGCTCCCATAATTCGTAATTCCCAGGGTCACCTGACATTGGGCAAAGTCAGTGAAAATTGGTTTGGTCCAGTAAATGCATTAGGGATGCCTGGAGACTAACCCTGTATATCATTCAAATCATCTTGGCATGACAAACCAGAATATATATGGTTTAGGGGTGGGGATCTCGACCATTTACAAGATACCAGAACATTGGGGGTGGGGGGAACCCCTGGGGACTGACCCTATACGTCATTCAAATGTTCGAGACACGACGAACAGGAATATATATGGTTTAGGGGTGGGGATCTCGACCATTTACAAGATATTAGAACATTGGGGGTGGGGGGAACCCCTGGGGACTGACCGTATACGTCATTCAAATGTTCGAGACATGACGAATAGGAATATATATGGTTTAGGGGTGGGGATCTTGACCACTTACAAGATATTAGAACTTTCTTAAATGGCAGGGGGTGGGGGTGACCCCTGGGGACTAACCCTGTATTTCATTTGATGTGCTTTATCATGACAAACCAGAATATATATGGTTTAGGGGTGGGGATCTCGACCATTTACAAGATATTAGAACTTTCTCATATGGCAGGGGGTCGGGATGACCCCTGGGGAGTAACCCTGTATATCATTCAAACCATCTTAGCATGACAAACCAGAATATATATGGTTTAGGGGTGGGGATCTTGACCACTTACAAGATATTAGAACTTTCTTAAATGGCAGGGGGTGGGGGTGACCCCTGGGGACTAACCCTGTATTTCATTTGATGTACTTTATCATGACAAACCAGAATATATATGGTTTAGGGATGGGGATCTTGACCACTTACAAGATATTAGAACTTTCTCAAATGGCAGGGGGTCGGGATGACCCCTGGGGACTAACCCTGTATATCATTCAAACCATCTTAGCATGACAAACCAGAATATATATGGTTTAGGGGTGGGGATCTTGACCACTTACAAGATATTAGAAATTTTTTAAATGGCAGGGGGTGGGGTGACCCCTGGGGACTAACCCTGTGTTTCATTTGATGTGCTTTATCATGACAAACCAGAATATATATGGTTTAGGGGTGGGGATCTCGACCATTTACAAGATATTAGAACTTTCTCAAATGGCAGGGGGTCAGGATGACCCCTGGGGACTAACCCTGTATATCATTCAAACCATCTTAGCATGACAAACCAGAATATATATGGTTTAGGGATGGGGATCTCGACCATTTACAAGATATTAGAACTTTTTCAAATGACAGGGGGTCAGGATGACCCCTGGGGACTAACCCTGTATATCATTCAAACCATCTTAGCATGACAAACCCAAATATATATGGTTTAGGGGTGGGGATCTTGACCACTTACAAGGTATTAGAACTTTCTTAAATGGCAGGGGGTGGGGATGACCCCTGGGGACTAACCCTGTATTTCATTTAATGGGCTTTATCATTTAGAACATTTTCAATTAAAAAGATTGTGTTTATCACAAACAGTTTTCAATTTATAATCATTTGAAAATTTAAAAAAATAAAATCCCGTAGGGTTTTATAGTAAAACCCTCTTTTCTTTTTGCCCCTCAAAGTACCCCTTTATAAACCCCATTGCACAAACAAAACCCTGATTGCACCACTAGACATGTTAGTCTAACATATTGTGAAACCCTAAGTTAATCTGACAAGCGGTTTTGGAGAACGGGTGCGGACAAGTTCAAATTTAAAAGCGTCGGAAGAGGAAGAAGAAGAAGAAGAAGAAGAATAATAATAATAATAAGAACTGAGCAAAAACAATAAGTCTTCCC